AAGAAACAAGTCCATCCAACAGCACAGATCCAGCTCGTTCACTTTCATTTATAGCTACAGTGGCCAGACTTGTGTAGGAGGAGAGATTGCCGCCGTCCAGAGGTTTCCCTGACGACTTGAACTTCCTGACTTTTCTTGCTTCCATCCAGATTCTTGCAAAGTTATGGACTGAGATTTTGGAGGAAACAGCTGGCTGGGGACATGCAGTTTTTCAGAGGCCTTAACAACATGCATGTGACATGTAAACATTTGGTGACTTTGCAAATAAGTCTTCCATAAATAGGAGAGTGAGTCTTGTTCTTTAGTCAAGGGTTCTGCAGATTTTAAAAGTCCATGAGAAGAAGCCCAAGGGAAAAAAATTGGGATAAAATTGACCATAGATGATACAAAAAGAGAGAGAGAGAGAGAGAAGAGGGCCTGGAGAAAGTATGGTGTGGTACATGGTCCAGCAGCTCGAAGCAACTCTCCTCCAGAAAAGGAAAAAATAATTGAGACATGGTGCCTCACGGGCAGATGGTGAAACAGTTAATTGTCATCGCCGTGAGAAATTCAGTGCCAGAGAGAGGAAAGGGGAGCAACTGTGTTTTAGTACCCTAATAACTTCTAACTCTAGTCTCAGATCATAATGTATGTGCGAGCAGTCCAGTAATTATAAGGTAATAAGTGAAGTGGTGGGGTAAGTGCTCTAAATTAAAAGGAATTCGCAGGGCTGCTGTAAGTCAGTGCCGACCCGCTTTCTTTCAAACGTTGACTGGAGGAAAAGTGCTTAGCCCAGGGTGCAAGCCGGGAGACAAGGAGAACCATCTATTAATTACAACGCTCATTAGCAGTGACGGGGACAAGGCAGCAGATGCGGGAGGGAGCGGATGCCGGAGTTCAGGCTGGCGCGGGGGATATTTTTCCTTTCGCTGGTTCTCCAGGAAAGGACACCACCAGTGGGTGGGCAACAGCAAGAAGATATTTTTGTGGATTTCTCCTGCCTGTTTGCTTTCTTCCTCTCCTGAGATTGCTTTCCTTTAGACAAGAGAATACCACCTCTGATGTGAAATCTCTTGGTTAAGGTGCAAATTCCTGTCCTCGATGCTTTGCTCTTGAGACTGCCTTCTTGGAACCATTCGGTGAACATGCTCTGCTAGGAAATACCATATTTTGATTTGTTTTAAAGTAGAAGAACAGTGGGGGAAAGGGGACCCGGAGGAGAGCATGAAATTTGCGCAATGAGGAAATATCATTAGATTTATAGTGAAGGAGATAATTACATCCCTTTGGTAATATGGCAGCTACTCCCCCAAATTCTAGTGAATGACCATTACCCTGTGGGACTCCCATAAATCAACTTTCCACTGGGAAGCAATTATCTAAGTCCCTTCCTCAACTCTCACCTCTTTCTATAGCGAGCTCTCCGAAGGTTCAGAAGAGACTTTGCTAAAAGGGGTTTTGCACTATGACTAACCAGAAAGAAAATAGGACCAATTATATCTTTTCATCTAATTACCTCTTCGGAAATTTAATCACTTATGGGTCTGACACAGTAAGAGGGGCAGTCCGTTTCTTCTAGACAAGAGAGAGAATCTGTCAGATTAGATGTTTCATCATATTGCCTTTTGGGAGGTATGATGCTGAAAGACCAAAGGAAAGGGAGAAAGAGAGGCGATCACAAAAGTCATTTTTTTCAGGACAAAATTTGATACGTTCTTACTTTGCTGAGTATAAAGTATCAGATTTGTGGACTCACAGGTATACTGAAGGGTCACGTGGCTTTTACTGATTGCTCTCTTCAGCAGGAGCCAGTCACTCACACAAACACACATGCACACGCATGTACCTGTTTATTAATCAGTGCTGGTGATCACTCAGCTTTGTGGGCTCTAGGAAACAATCCTTAAATATTGGCTAGAATGTTATCCTTGATGTCTCTCTGTGTCACTAGATGTGTAGGAAATAGAGCAATTTAACTAAAGACGCAAACTGATCGAGGATATATTCCCTATGTGTCTTGGATCAATAAGGGACACGGTTACGCTTCTGGACGCGTGCTGACAAACGGTGATTGCAAGAGCTGGGGAATCATCTGTTCGGTCTTGAAAAGAAAAGTTTGATCCTGCTCATAATAGAATGATTGCAGCATCAGAAAATGGAAGGGGAAAGTAGAGTGAGGGTAAATTTACTTTTAGAAATGGTGCGGACTTTGCAGATCGCTCCGCTTCTGTGGACAGATTTAGAATCTAGGGAGTTGATTTAGATATTGACAGCGGTTCTCCAAGAGAAAGGTGAAGTAAAAGGAATTAGACCCGTTAGAGCTCTTGTTTATGGCCTGTCTGGGCACTTTGATGTAACCCTGTCACGCCCTTATGCTGATTACCTTCTTGTAGAACAAGAGATATTGACTAGGGAATGAATGATGTGTGGTCCTTTGCTCGTAGGCAGCCCTCTTAAAGAGCAGTGACTTTTTTTTAATTAAAGTAGAGTTGATGTACAATATTATATAAATTTCAGGTGTACAATAGAGTGATCCACAATTTTTAAAGGTTATACTTTAGTTATAGTTAATATAAAATATTGGCTATATCAAAGAGCAATGTCTTTAACGTATGAATTCTCTCTCTCTCTTTTCCTTTTTTTGCCACCTTTCATCCTTCCCCTTTACTTTACCGTTTCACCTTCCCTTTGTTTCTGCCTCTTTTGGTCTCGGTGTTTGACACTCTCTCCTTCTCTTTCTCCCTCTGTTTGTATCTCCCTAAATCTCAGGCTTCTCTGCAGAATGTCAAACAAAGACCGGCACATTGATTCCAGCTGTTCGTCCTTCATCAAGACGGAACCCTCCAGCCCGGCCTCCCTGACGGACAGCGTCAACCACCGCAGCCCAGGTGGCTCTTCAGACGCCAGCGGGAGCTACAGTTCAACCATGAATGGCCATCAGAACGGACTTGACTCGCCACCTCTCTACCCTTCTGCTCCTATCCTAGGCGGCAGTGGGCCTGTCAGGAAACTGTATGACGACTGCTCCAGCACCATTGTTGAAGACCCCCAGACCAAGTGCGAATACATGCTCAACTCAATGCCCAAGAGACTGTGCCTGGTGTGCGGCGACATCGCATCTGGGTACCACTATGGGGTAGCATCCTGCGAAGCCTGCAAGGCCTTCTTCAAGAGGACGATTCAAGGTGAGTGCCTGCTGCACATAGAGATACCCACCCTCCTCCAGTCTCACACGATGGTTGGTTGGTTGGTTGGTTGGTTGGTTAGCTGGTTGGTTGGTTTTCCTAGTGTTTATCCTCATTAGTAAGTTTTGCATTCTTCATTCTGTCTTGGGCACCAAAGAGAAATAGGTTAAAGTTGATAGTGGAGGATTTGTAGAGTAAACTCCCCACCCCCTTACTGGACATGGCTCCTGTCAATTCCACCTTCACTCTCAAGCTCTGATGATGGAATGGTAATTAGCTTGGGTGTGGTTTAAAAGCACACATCTGTTATTAGAGCAGTGGGGGTCGGGGTAGCGCCCGAACCAATGCACACTGGATTCATAGTGCTCTATTCAATTCTTCTTACTTCTGAAATAATGAATATTTTAGACCAGTGGTTTTCGAACTAGAGTGTGCTTCAAAACCGGCTGGAGTTCTTGCTGAAATGCAGATCACTGGGCCCAGTTCCCAGAGTTTCTGGTTCCTTAGCTCTGTCTTGGGTAGGGGCCTGAGAATTTATATTTCTAACAAATTTTCAGGTGATACTGGTATCGCTGGTCCAGGGACTACACTTTGAGAATCACTGCTCTAGACAAATTTAATTTTCTCCTACGCTCCTTCTTTCTCTATGGTTGGATATACTTTCCCCACCTTTGTAATGAATTTGTATTAAAGAAGCTTCCAAATTATACCAGATTATAAAATATGCCTCCAACATATATAAAAAAATATCCAAACCTTTATAGATCTCCAGATTGAGAAATAGCAAAATTATTTCCCACCAAAAAGGAAAATGTGACTGAAATTTGTATGTGGCTTTTTAAACTAGGAATTCACAAGTACAAAACTCTGCTAGTTTTCAAAGCTATAGATGTATATACTTACAGAAAGCTACAGTTCACTTGTTTAGATACTTCGTGTGACACGCCTTTGAAGAAAATAGGAGAAGGAAATGGGGGATTTCTGGTGGGGGATTCTCAGCACGTCAGTGATTCTGTCTTTCTGCTCAGTGCTTTACGAAATGTATCTCCTTAACGACTGGTTACGGAGACGAGTGCATCTTCCCACATGTCAGTGGTTCTCAACCTTGCCTGGAATCACCCAGAGACAAAAATAAATACTGATGCCGGGGCTCCACCCCCAAATTCTGAGTTAATTTGGCCTCAGGCACGGGCAGGGCAGGGGGAGATTTTTGAAAGTTTCCTAGTTAATGCTTCATGTAAAGCCAGTGCTGAGAGCCACGATGCTGAACTGTTCTGTGTTCTGTTAGTGCTTCTCAGGGTGTGAGCACTGGTCCAGCAATACCAGCATCACCTGGGAATTTGCTGGAAGTGCACATTCCCAGGCCTCATCCCAGACCAGCTCAGTCGGGATCCCTGAGGGTGGGCCGTGCCCTTTGTGCTTCACCGGGCGCTCCTGGAGAGGCTGAGGCTCACCCAAGTTTGAGAACCACAGCTCTCTTACAGTGTTACCACTGATGACCCTCCTGTGTCATCTTATGGTCCCTGCTTGGGTGTAACTGAGATTAGGTTAATCACTCTCTGACATGCTTACTGGTTTTTAAAGTGAAAAGGAGATCATGTTTGTTAAACTCGAATCCTTCCAAATATTTTAACAAAGGGTGATTCTGAAACCTTTCATGTGCCCATAGGTAATCGTCTACCTTTTCCTTTTAAGAGCATGTGGGAGGGCAATCTTTTCACCTGGGTGCCCTGAGATGCTAGTGTCTTGTCCTTAGTGAATCAGCTGTACCATCTCCCACTTGCTTTTGTGCTGTTTATCACATAGTAGCTTCCTTGATCTATGAGTACACAGTGAAAGAGTTAAAAG